AATTTTGAGTAGTTCGGAGAACCGGCAAATACCACCTCTGGCTGGTCCCAGAGTGGGGTGGGAATGGACATTTTGCAATATCCTTTCCCCAGGAGTGAGGAGGGAATGGGGATTTTGCAGTATCCTTCCCCTGGAGTGGGGTGGGAATGGAGATTTTGCAGTATTCTTCTCCTGCCACGCCCACCAAGCCATGTCCACCAAGTCACACCACGCTCACTAAACCACGCCCATAGAACCGGTAGTAAAAAAAAATTGGATTTCACCACTGCTTGTGACTCACTACATTATTCCTTATGGGAAAATATTGTTTGGTACTCATCATTTTTGGTACTCATTGCACCTCCTGGAACTATTTATTTATTTATTTATTTATTTATTTATTTATTTATTTATTTATATGCCGCCCTATCTCCAGCCGGACTCCGGGCGGCTCACAACAGTAAAAAACATCTAATGAAAAAGTTAAAAAGAAATTAAACCCAAATCTCATAATTTAACAGTTAAAAGTGCAATTAAGACTAACAAGTTAAAAATTAAAACCCCATCAGTCCAGGCCAGCCAAATGAAACAGCCATTTTTTCAGGTCGCGACGGAAAGAGCGGAGGGCGGGGGCCACCCGGAGCTCCAGGGGCAGTTGATTCCAAAGGGTAGGTGCGCCCACAGAGAAAGCTCTACCCCTGGGGGTCACCAGCTGACTCTGGCTGACGGCACCCTGAGGAGGCCCTCTCTGTGGGAACGCACTGGGCGATGGGCAGCTGTTGCTGGCTGCAGATGGCCCCCCAAATATCCTGGGCCTAATATCCTCGATGAGTATCGAGGTACCACTCTATTAATTTTTTTAAGGAGGGGAAGAAAACCCAGCCAGTGTGTCATCACCTTTTGGACTGACTGAAAAAATGTGCCAAATCACTCTGACACCTCAACCTCTGGAGGGGAGAGGGAATCCCACACATCAGGAGACAGGAAAAAGCAAGAGTGTTTGCCAGTGGGAAACCAACTAACCCACAGCTGCAAAGGAAATACTGTAAAACAATCTTTGCAGCTAAATGAGGAAGTTAATGAAGTCAGCAGAATGGCAGAAACTCTTTCATGTGCTGAAAAGTGTCGTGTGGTTGAAGACTCGGGTTGCCACAATCCTTTTATGTGGAAAGATATAATTTCCAAGGAATAAAGCATACTGGCAGGGGGAGTTCTGGGAAGTGAAATTCACACATCTTAAAATGCAGTGATGAAATGTAAAATTTGTTGCTGTCGGTTCTGTGGGCGTGGCTTGGTTGGGGGGTAATGTGACTGGGTGGGCGTGGCCAACCTTTTTTTTTACTTTTAAAAGCATTTTTTCTGCAACTTCTTCGACCAAAGAGGTTGTAAAAAAAGTGCTTTTAAAAGGCTCTGACGATCCCAGCTGAGTTGCCTGATCGTCAGAGGCTTTTGTTTTCTTTTAAAAGCATTTTTTTTGCTTTCCAGTTGCAGGCTGGAATCTCTCATTGGTCAGCGAGTTGGAAAAGTGCTTAATTTGGAGTGGATTCTGACCTGGCTAAATAATAGGCTGGCCAGATTTATTTTGTTACTTGATGACTTCATCAAAAGAGCAAGATTGGCACAGAAATCCTGCAAGTAAGTAAACAAACAAACAATAAATTGGAAAACTAATGAAAGACAACCACTGCCCATATTGTGAGTCTTCTAAAGTTGCCATTTATGCCTACAAAGGCAGAATTCACTAAGAGTTTGCAATACATGAATTACTTGGAAAGTTCTTTTAATAATCAGTCAGAAAAGGCCACCCAGGAAACACAAGAGTTTTGTTCTCAAGCACAACCACATCCTTAGAGGCCTTGGAGAGCATTCAGCCTCATTAGAACCAATGGCAGAACAATTTGCAGCAATATTCATTCGGATGAGGCTGTCTGGATCTTAAATCTGATAGTATCCAAAGGAAGGATGCACAAGTTTATTATTTTTTCCCCCAGTTCAATAATCTCCATTGGGAAAAACCCCTTTGTCTATCCTTCTCTTCCTTTCTGCATTTATTGACAAAAATAAATAAATAAATGTTTTCCAACATTCCTTTATTTATTGCTCTGTATTTTTCATTCTTTTAATAGCATGTAACATGGCAGCTAATGATCAAATATGAAAGAATGTAATATAATTGACACAAGGGTGAAATCCAGCAGCTTCTGACAGGTTCTGGAGAACCGGTAGTGGAAATTTTGAGTAGTTCTGAGAACCGGCAAATATCACCTCTGACTGGCCCCAGAGTGGGGTGGGAATTGAGATTTTGCAATATCCTTCCCCAGGAGTAGGGAGGGAATGGCGATTTTGCAGTATCCTTCCCCTGGAGTGAGGTGAGAATGGAGATTTGCAGTATCCTTTCCCTGCCACGCCCACCAAGTCATGCCCACAGAACCGGTTGTAAAAATTTTTGGATTTCACCACTGAATTGACACAATAATATAATAGGCAGTAACAGTCAGCATGAACAAGAAGATATGTATCTCTGTAATATGCACACATCCAGACACACCGAGCACAATCCAGACCTCTGGTTCAGCTCTTCCGGGTTGCACAGCTAATAAGAATTCTACCTGGTTCTGGATATATTTTCAATAAAAAAAGAGGAGCCATTGTAACAATTAATCATACACCAGTTGTTGGATCTCACCCTCTCAGCACTCTGCAGCACTGAATGATAGATGGAAATGTTTACTATGTTCCCCTTTGGACTTGAGAAAGATACAAAGTGGATTTTTTTGCCAGCTTTCCGGAAGGATTTGGCTTAATTCCAAAGTGCACAAAGGGAAAAAAAAAATAAAGGAAAGAAAAATGCCCGAACTTCCTTTATGTATTGCTAGTTTTTTACTGCCTTCTCACGCCAATTAATTTTTGTTGAAGCAAAGACATTAATGCCAAACCAAGATTTATTAAACATCATTTTGGAAGTTCAGGGCATTCAAAAGGAGTGCTGAAGAATTATAAATAGATCCCCAAAACTTAAAATGTAGTTCTCCCTCTAACAAATTCTAATGCTCGAGCAATGAATGCTGTTAGTTCTGAAGCCAAAACGGGATCACCTCTTCAAAGAATTCCAAGAAGACGGTGTCAAAATGGTTGAGAGAATGTTAAGTTTTGAAGATGAACAAAATGAGTATGCACGTAGAAAGAGAAATTGAAAATAGAACGGCACATTCTAAAATGCAACTTTTTTTGCAGTTTCCATTTGTCCAGGCCCATTATCCTTGCAGTTGAAAAACGATGTATGATGATATATGAATGTCGTTCCGTTAACTTTACTACAGTCAGTTGAAGGGAAAGATTTGCACGGAATTTGCAAAACAAAGACCCTGTTCAGTGAAAAACCGAGCATGTGCTGATCCTTCTAAACATATTTGTGATGGGAAACTTTGTTATTGCAATCAAAACTTGGGAGTGAATAAGTAGCATAAGTATCAAAAAAAAAAAAAAAAAAAAAAATTGAAGCAAAAAAATGCATCCTTGCCTGTCCACACACAAATACACAAGTGATATTGGCTGATTATTGTCCTCAATCATAAACTATTGTAGCTAGATTCTCACAATATTCTAAGATGTAACCCAGTGTTTCTCAACCTTGGTAGCTTGAAGAGGGGTGGACTTCAACTCCTAGAATCCCCCAGCCAGCAGCGCTGGCTGGGGGATTCTGGGAGTTGAAGTCCACCCCTCTTCAAGCTACCAAGGTTGAGAAACACTGCTGTAACCAAACAAAATATGAAGGTAAATATACACATCTCTGGATAATGTTGCAAAATCCATTCTGGGTCGATTACTGGGACCAGAGGTTTACTCGCTTATCAGAGTAAACCTCTGGTCCCGGTGACCAACCCAGATTGGATCTTGCAAACGAAACATATTATGGCTTGGAATGAGACCTGATATGGTTAAGATGTCACAAAACCCACAATAAACTTAATTCAGCATTTTCTGACAACCTCACAGTCTTTCATCTTTCATTATGTCCTTCTCCTGGGAAGTCTGTTTTCAATAAAATATAAAATCATTGAAGCATTGAAGGTTGAGTTCATCGGAGTATGAAGATTTTTAGAAAAACAAATTCTGCAGAAAATTCTCATCTTCTTTTGAGACCTAAGCAAAATAAGGGAAGGTTCCTATTGCTCCCCAGATAAAATAGTGAATAATAGGAAATATACTAAGAATTTAAATACTTATTTTAGAAAAAAAATAAGATAGTCTAAGTGAGCTACAGGTAATTCCCAGGATTCAACATATGCTGGGAACTGTGTTTCTCTCATAGTGATGTCCCCAGTCACTAATACTTAAATTGAATTTTTTGTGTGGGGTTTAGAATTTATCCCCAAGTTTACTTTCAAATGTTGCTAATCCAGAGAAAATTCAAGGGATGATAGCAATTTTTAATTCAAGTGTTTTTTGTTGGTTTTTTTGCAAATTGTAATTCACAGGTTTCCACAGAGACACGTGGACTCAACCCAATTTATGAGAATAGCTGCTAGCATGGTTTGAAGTAACATCATATTTTAAAGTCATTCTATCTTTCTGTTCTTCAAAGAATTTTTCTATACTTTTTCATTAGGATATTTGTGCCCACCATAGTTGAACACCGTATTACATAAAGGACAGGGGTGAAATCCAGCAGGTTCTGACAGGTTCTGGAGAACCGGTAGCGGAAATTTTGAGTAGTTCGGAGAACCAGCAAATATCACCTCTGGCTGGCCCCAGAGTGGGGTGGGAATGGGGATTTTGCAGTATCCTTCCCTTGCCACACCCACAGAACCGGTAGTAAAAAAATTTCACCACTGATACAGGATTAGATACTAACGGATAAGTCTCACTGCTTATTTATCTAAAAATTGCCTCACACGGAATCTGTTACATTCAATAGAAAAGGATTGCTGCATTTATATGCTGCATTTATATGCTACATTTATGAAAAATACCAGATAAAAATATCTTTATGTTTTCAATGATAACCCGAGTGCTGGGAATTAATATATATATATATTTATTTATAGATGGACTTACATAAGTATCACATTTAAGAACATTGCTATGACAGAAGTAAGAAAAAAACATTTCCTAACTCCACAACAATAAGGGAGCCTCCCGCATCAGTGCAATTCAGAACATAAGTACAAACTAATAAAGCGGTGATAATAACAGAAAATTTTAAACTCTGGACTTTTAATGTTACAAAAGCACATGTTTTTTGCTGCCACAGCTATCATTTTTATTATTCCTTGCCTCTATCTGTCTCCTGAGTTTGCTAAGGGAGGTCTCCTAATCTTGATGAATCCAAAGGCAAGGAGAATCCATGCTGTAGATGGGCTATAACACAGAAGATGGAACACTGGTTTATAAAGACCTAAGGTCAGGACAACATAGTCTCAGTTGACCGGCAGAGAGAAATGCACAACTTTCAAGTCAGCTAAATATAATTCATAGCCTTCTGCATTTTAAGACACCTGCATTAGACTACATATGTTTTTATCCTTCACATATTAAATTCAACAAAACAAAAATAACCCTTGCATACTTTACCTATCAGTTTATCGTAACTTAAAGAGTTTATTAAAACTGATTTAAAGAAAAGAGTGTTTCACAAGGATAGTTTGACTTATCTATCCTTTCCACTTCCCTGCATACAAGGCAAGATGCAAAATCTACTACACAAAAACAAAACAAAAATTCAGTGGCGTTTTCATCTTCCTTCCCTCATTTCTTTCTGCTTGTACAATTTAGAGTCTGGTCCCCACTGAGATATTCTCGGGGGAAAGACACTTTTTGTTTCTTTTAGAATGGGCATGTAATGTTATTTATTTGTTACAACCCATGAAAGCTTAATGCTATCAAATATATTATTCTAATTCCTAGGAAGCGTGGATCTAATATTTTCCAATGTTTACAGATTTTCCTAAAAGGTCAATAGTAGGTATTAAATTTCTATATTTATTACCATGAAGAGATGTTAGCTGGGGATCTAGAGCAGCCTTCTCCAAGATAGCGCTTTCCAGAAATAATGAGGCTAGAGTTCTCAAATTCATAGTCATCAGGCCAAAAAGATTGAAATTCTGGTCCCGTCTATCTAAATGGTTTGAGAAGAATTAGGATTCCCAGCTTTGCAAGTATCAAAAAGAGACAAGATCTGGGACTTGTTCCCAATCCTGCTGAAGTGAGAATTCATCTATATTTGTGTATGAATATGCTAATAATTATAGAGTTTGCTTCTTGGATTATGGATATCTGCAGTGTATATGTGTGTCTAGAAGAAAGCTGGATACCCAAACCTTTCTTATGTTATCTTTATATTTTCCATAACTCAACCAAAAATCACTGGAGTGGTATTTCATTGATTCTTTGCGGGAATCAGTTTAATAAGAGCTTCAAAGTTTATCGTGAAGCAACGGCTTCTGACATCATCTATGACATGTAGATTCCAGATTATTGCTCTTCAGTTACAATTGGCAAAAAAAATCCATAGACTGCTTTTACCCCCCAAATTGAGCATGCTAACTAAAATATAGCATGACAATAATAAGTATTCTAATAAATTGACTATAAAGCAACACAAACTGTTCAAGGCCAAGTGTACATCAAGTGTTTTGTACACTTCAGCACTATTGTATTTATAAAACAAAGTGTAGAACTCTTAATGCAATTATTCATGATTATTTGGGTAAGCTAACTCCCTGCAAATCTTTTAGCATGGAAGGCAAGTCAATCATGGCAGGTAAGATGATGTTCTTCAAGATGGCACTCCTTACAATTGTTGGGACTTAAAATTTCCGGCCTTTGGTCATGCTGGATAGGCGTGCCAATAGTTGTAGAGGCAATACATCAAGAAGATACCAGGTTGCAGGAAGTCAAGGTAAGGCTTCTGAACGTAGAGGAATTATGACAAATGTTGTTAGTTAAGATGACCTTGAAGAAAAAGCAACAGCAGCTTCAAAATCTCTCCTAATTATCTTATGTCCTGCCTCTTTTATTTGATACTACCAATGCAGCTATGAGCAGCATTTTGGAAGCATCATTCCTACCTCTTTGATCTATTTAGTTCTAGAGACCAGTTTGTTTCTTGAAAGCTTATGAGAAATTTCCCCCCAATTTGGATTAAAAACAATGTGAATCCAGGAAACTCTCATTAAAAATAAATATCAAAGAATGCCAAACCATTTAGTTCAACTACTAGCAATAAATAGCAATCAGGATGGCTATTGGGCTTGCCATATCTTTGCTAACCAAGGAATGTTTCAAGTATCAAGGAACTGCACTCCTTATTTTACATAGCACCAGATAGTTTTGAGACCATCAATGGTTTATTGTGCAAATATCCCTTCTATTTCTAAGGGCTGTAAGCTCAGCTCTCTTTTCCAGTACACTTTTTAGTACACTTTTCAGCATTCTTCAACCACAGTCCCAATCAAGGAGTATAATTTTTTCTTAATTAAACGAAACCCAGGGCTCAAGATCAGAGTCTGTTTATAGCTAGAAGTAAAACAAACTCTGGGGAATAAACTCCTGAAGCTGGGCCATGAACAATTGTCTTGCTTGAACACCAGTGTCAGTTCAAAAGTAGGAATGACGCTGGGCTCACAAACAATCTTATCCAGCCTTTTACATACATTTCCAGTTTCCAAGTTGACATGAATAATGCAGCCCCGCAAACCACAAGGCTCCGTAGAAGAGAGACGCAAGACATCTTGAGCTATCCTCCGAGTTAATTTCTCAGGGACCAAGACCTTTGAGCAATGCAGTCTAGTCTGTTTTGATTTAGAGAGGCAGTTCTCCAGCATTCTAATTAGATTCTGACACGTTCGTTCCTCAAACACCATCTCATTAAAGTTGGGTTCAGGCGCTACAAAATCCCAATAGTCAAAGTCTGCAAAGAAAAAAGTGAAAATTAGAAGAGATTCTCCATATGAAGAAATTAGCCGCCCACCACTTCTAGCATCCAACTATTACACTGAAGTTCATTGCAAGTATCATACGCACAAACATACCATCACAAACAGCTGTGGGTCATCAGACTAAAGCCAGAATGCCACTACACAGGACAGACAGCTTGCCAGATGGAACAGAAAATGCAGAAAAACACACACACAGCACAATAGACTCCAAAAAAAAAAAAAAAAGGAGATCCAACTATGTTTTTCTAAAGATTACAATTTTGGCAGGCTGTCAAGAATAGAGCCAAGTTGTTCCACGCTGCATGCCAAAAAAGAATCAACTTGTTTACTTTGCTAAATTAAGAGAGCCCTGGACATAGATGCACCCCACAATTGGAATTGATATGAGAAATGAAGCAGTTTTCACACATTGTTCACACTTCAGAGAAACATCAGGGAGCTCATGTCTTAATGGTTAATTCCAAGCAAACATCTTTAGGTCTTGCTACATATCCTTCAAGCTTCAGTTTTGGAAAAACTAGTAATGCATTCAATTTACTTATATTTCATTAACTAGATATTATACAAATTATCTTTATTTCTGCCATTTTTTTTTAAAGAAAGACTATATTCCCATAGAAAACAAATAAGTTGTCATTATGTATAAAGAAATTATATTTAAATATCTAGGTTCTGATCCTCCAGCTGGCTTGCATGCCAGTGAAGCATCAAATCTATAATTGTAGTTTCTAATTAAGACTAAAAGTTCTGGAGTACGCCAATATGCTTCTGAAATGCTAATGCTTAGCATTGAAGGAGCTATTCCTTCTTTCAGCAAAACCTGAAAAAGACGTATATTTGTAGCCTAATGCTAGTTTGTGCTGTTTATTCCCCGTCATTTTTTATGATGCAAACTATTAATCATATTGACAAAGTATGCTGAGACTTCTAAGTTCGGTAGAAAGTATAAAAGTTATACCCTTAATCCATGAATCAAGTACACTTTTCAATATTAGGCTATTTATTTAAATTTACTCCATCCAAAAAATGTATGGAATTTTGCAGATAACTTTTAAGCCAAGCTTCACTTGTGTGCTTTTGTTTTTCTGTCTACAAAAGATAGGTATCTACAAATTAGAGAAAATATTCAAAACTGTCTTCGCTAAATATAGTATTAGGATACACCTCATGTTTTCACACAATAATACTGTATGCAGCAATCCTGAGCGAAGGGCACACTTGGCGCTTGCATGACACTAATAGATATGACTTCCAAAAGTAGTGGATGAGCCCAGATGAAAATTTAACATTATCTTTTATTAAAAGGCATTATTTGTCAATGAAATTTGAGTCTTCAGAGGCTAAACATGGTCTCATGGTACCAGATGGGACATTTCTAATTTACTAAAATCTGGATTGCTTCCTTTTCACACCTGGCCCCATCCCAGTCATCCTATCTTACTTACCAGAGAAGGATGCCTGCTGAAATCGCTGCTGTATCAGTTCAGTATTTTTATTATTTAAGTTGTTGGTTGCAACCATTCTGAAGAAGTGCATTCACCTTCAACAAGTCCTGGGTGCACCTTACAATTAGGACTACTGTGTGAGGAAGCAAATCCAATTGACTGAGAGATTGTTAGAAGATAAGGCAGGTGAACACTATGAAGGAGCAGTGGGAAAATAAGGGCCATGCCCAGAGGCCTAAGCCAATCCTGCAATGTTCTTAGCAAGGATACAGACATGCCCAATTCTAAAATGTTTGTTTTTTTGACTCCCCAACCTAGCCAAAAAGCTGTGAAATTACCTGGCAGTCTCTCTCCCCGTCCCCAAGGGAAACAAACCCACAAAGTAGAGGAAGTACCAATTTTTCAAGATAATACCAGTCAATGTCCCACACCTGGTCAGCCACAGACATCTACCAGGAGTAAATTCCACCAGCTTTTTAATAGGGGCTACTCCTGGGTAAATGAATTACACCCCAACGAATCTTGTGTCCATGGGGGGGGATTGCCGTTTTAAGTCCATTCGCAAACCCATTTTAAAAATTCATTAAGAACATTTTAAAACGTCTTTTGAGTGTAAATGCCAAAAAAAAACAAAAAAACCCAATCAATCTTAAAAAGGAAATGGAAAAGGGTTATTCGAGTTAGCTTTTGTTTATTAATACAATCTCCAGCACAAGCTCTTACCTGCGAAAAAGTAAAGGAGGGAAACTTTGTTAGAACAGGGACTCTCGTGTCATCACAAAGCACTTATTGAAAGAAAGAAAGAAAGAAAAAGAGAGAGAGAGAAATTATAGATACGAACTTCTGGCCACCAATGAGCCTCCTGTCCTTTTTTAAATGCCTGCTTAGACATTTATAGACCGTAACCCGCTCACGCTCCCTCCGCCACGGCCCAGCCCCACCCTATTGCTGGCCAGCCCCCCCCCCCCCGCCCCCCCCCCGATTTGGTAGGCAAGCTCTCTTCTCATTGGTCGCTGCTCTTTTAGGGCGGGCGGTGGCCAGCAGAGCGAGGGGTTTGAATCGGAAAGAAGAGAAGCCCCCGGGGGGGGGGGGGCGGAGGGGCCGAGCGGGTGACTTTGTTTGTCGGGGGGAGGAGAGGCATTCAAAGTCACCCGATTCACTTCTGCCGGAGCGTTTGACCCGTTCGGAGCGGCTTCTTTGCTCCTTTTCAGCTCTCGGCGCGTCCTTGAAATGGCTGGGAAAAGTTTAGGTGGGCGGCCGCAGGGCTCCTAAGGTCCAGGGTGGTCCAGTTCCCGAAGCGGTAAACTTCTGGGGTCAGAAAGGGAGAGGGGCGAATCCTCCGGTATCTTCTTTCTCCTTCTCCTTCTCCTCTTTCTCCTTCTCCTTTCTCCTTCTTCTCTTTCTCCTTCTCCTCCTTTTTCTCCTTCTTCTCTTTCTCCTCCTTTTTTCTCCCCCTTCTCCTTCTCCTCCTCCTCTTTCTCCTTCTCCTTTTTCTCCTCCTCCTTCTCTTTTTCTTTCTCCTTCTCCTCTTTCTCCTTCTCCTTTCTTCTTTCTCCTTCTTCTCTTTCTCCTTCTCCTTCTCCTCCTTCTTCTCCTTCTCCTTCTCCTCCTTTTCTCCTTCTTCTCTTTCTCCTCTTTTTCTCCCCCTTCTCCTTCTCCTCCTCCTCTTTCTCCTTCTCCTTTTTCTCCTCCTCCTTCTCTTTTTCTTTCTCCTTCTCCTCTTTCTCCTTCTCCTTTCTTCTTTCTCCTTCTTCTCTTTCTCCTTCTCCTTCTCCTCCTTCTTCTCCTTCTCCTCCTCCTTCTCTTTTTCTTTCTCCTTCTCCTCTTTCTCCTTCTCCTTTCTTCTTTCTCCTTCTTCTCTTTCTCCTTCTCCTTCTCCTCCTTCTTCTCTTTCTCCTCCTCTTTCTCCTCCTTTTTCTCCCCTTCTCCTTCTCCTCCTCCTCTTTCTCTTCTCCTTTTTCTCCTCCTCCTTCTCTTTTTCTTTCTCCTTCTCCTCCTCTTTCTCCTTCTCCTTCTTCTCCTTCTTTTTCTTCTCTTCTTTCTCTTTCTCTTTCTACTTCTCCTTTTTCTCCTTCTCTTTCTCCTTTCTCCTTCTCTTTCTCCTTCTCTTTTTATTTCTCTTTCTCCTTCTCCTCCTCCTCCTCTTTCTCCTTCTCCTTTTTCTCCTTCTCCTCTTCTTTCTCCTCCTCCTCCTCCTCCTTCTCTTTCTCCTCCTCCTCCTCCTCCTCCTCCTCTAAATTAGCCTACAGAAGAGAATGAGTTGATTGCTTGCAGATGTTACCTACTCGGGTAACGAAACGCCTGCACGCAAATGATCGAGGTCAGAGATTACCAAGGACCCCACCGAATAAAAGAGGTTATAACGCCAAAGTGCTGCTAATTCGCCATGTGGTTAATACAGCTGAGCTGAGCCAGAGTGAGTTTTCAAGGTGCACCGTTTAGGTTTTTGAGGTGGATGGAAGAAAAGCCGAGGGACGTTTTGAACAATGCCAGTTGCAAAAGGATGTTCAACCTGACATATATCCTGCATTCCAGAAGTGATCCAATCCCTGAAGCAAAACTTTAATCTTGTACGTGCTTAGAGTAGTGTAAGCCCTACTCTACTCTGTGCTTAAAACGAGATTTGAGAGTTAAAGGGGAAAACTGATCCAGTGGCTTCTCCCAGATCTGAAATAGCTGTGCTGTGTGAGCAAAAAGTCTGCACAATTATGCTGCTGGGTCAAATGCTCTGGAGAAGTTGTGGTTTAGCCCATCTGGACTGCTTCAAAACTACTGGTTGAGAAAAAAATATATGGTAGAGAAACCTCTTCTCTGAACTCTTTCTGGTTTATTTATAAGCTGACTTATTTATTTTCTCTAATCAACTTGTACTGCTGCTTATCTCAAAACAGTGATTTAGGGTTACTACCGTAATAATGGCATTAAAACTCAGATTCAGCTATTTAGAATAATAAACATGCATAAAGACAAAAGAGGACAACAGCCATCTGCAAATGGCCTCTCAGTCTCCTGGGCCCAATTAGCCTCTCAATCCCCATAGCTAGGATAACAGTTCTGTTTTAAAGCTTTACAAAATTTTAAAAGTCAGGTATTTGGAACAGGAAACCCCCCCCCCCACTTTTTGAGATAGATCAGACTAGGAAACCAAAGTTAGGATGCCAACACCACTTAACAATATTAAAAATCTTTAATCTCCCCATTCCCGCCCTTCATTTTCTAGAGAACTAAGGGAGGTCAAGTCAGAGAGGTTTTCTCAAATTACATATCTGCCTCAGACTCAAATAGCTTTTATCTGACCATTATCTTGGTTACCATGAAGGACTTTATAGGTGACAATCAGCATCTTGAATTGCACCTGGCAAGCAGTACGGTACAGTTTGCAGAGCAAAGGTGCAACATAGGTGTATCAAGGTATCCAGAGCAGAACATGCTTCATGTAGAGCACATTGCAGTAATCCATTGGAGCTAGCCAAGGCAGGACTTGCCTTGAAAAAGTGTCTCTGGTTTCAGAAGATGCACAAAATGAAGGTATGTAAAAGTTCTCCTAGTTGCCACCAGCTCTTGTCCCTTTCCTTCACTACCACTAGTGTTAAAATCTCATGTCCAAAAAGTTTTTCCTGCTCTTGATGTAATTGTTAGGGGTATTATTTTTGTTTATTGGGTACATACCAGAGGTGGGTTTTAGCAGGTTCTGACCAGTTCTGGAGAACCGGTAGCGGAAATTTTGAATAGTTCAGAGAACCGGTAAATACCACCTCTGACTGGCCCTGCCCCCATCTATTCTCTGCCTCCCGAGTCCCACCTGATCGTTAGGAAATGGGGATTTTGCAGTAACCTTCCCCTGGAGTGTGGAGGGAATGGAGATTTTACAATATCCTTCCCCTGGAGTGGGGTGGGAATGGAGATTTTACAGTATCCTTCCCCTGCCATACCCACCAAACTACACCCACAGAAGCAGTAGTAAAAAATTTTGAAACTCACCACTGCTCCATACATTTGCAAAGGCACCTGTCAACCATTGACTGACATCAATGTGTTAGCCATTTGGGGGCGGGGTAAATAATTGGATGTAATCAATTGGTGTGCAGGCTTTTTTGCACACGGAAAAGGAACAGGAGCTACTGCCTGCCCATCATTCCTATGATAAACAATAACATGTGTTGTTTAGTGTTGGCTCAATATACAGAACACAGAATAACAGAGCTGGAAGGAATATTGGAAGTTTTCTAATCCAACCTCCTGCCCAAGCAGAACAGCCTATACCAGTGATGGGTAACCTTTTCCGGACCGAGTGCCCAAAGAGCGTGCATGCATGCATGAATGCACGTGCGAGTAGCCCCAAAATGCAGTGCATGTGGCTCCCACGCATGCGGCCCCTGATGCATGTGCACCCTGCATGTACCCTGCCCCCATGCATGCATGTGCACCCCACATGCGCCCCGCTTCCTCATGCATGCATGCCCCCCGCATGCACCCTGCCCTCCGCATGCATGACAGAGACCCAAAGACCAGCTGGATGGCGGGAGGCACGCACCTGCGTGGCGGAACTGAACTGGGCTCACGTGGCGGAACTCTGTGGGCTCACGTGCCCACAGAGAGGGTGCTGCGTGCCACCTCTAGCACGTGTGGTATAGGTTCGCCATCACAGGCTTATACCATTGTGGACAAATCTCTTCTTCAAAGCCTCTAGAGATTGAGCTCTAGAGCCCTGGAGTTTCTGAAGGCTAGCTGTTCCACTGATTAATTGTTCTCATTGTCAGGAAATTTCTCCTTAGTTCTAGGTTGGAATCTCTTTGATAAATTAACATGTTGCATTTATCTTGCATTGACAGACTAATCTCATGCATTTAAATTGCTGTACTATATAGACATAACCTGTGAGTTCAGCAACTATTCAAATCTGAATTGATTTGGAAAACATTGGCTAGGTTAAGTATGAGTCCAATCAAAGACGTTATACTGTTTTCTAGATGCCTGCATTTCCCACAATCCCCTGTCAATTTCCAGATAAATAATTCCCAGTTAAACATTGCCCATGTAGCTGGGAATCTGGGAGCTCTAGTCCAAACATTTGGAAAGAACCAGATTGGAGAAGTGAGAACACCATGACTGATTCAATCAGTTCTTACTTTCTTCGATTCCAGGAGGAGGAATGCATGGAATATAATCCAATTGGATTCCCACTCTTTGGGCTACCAACTGTCACAGAGTAAAGAAAATGTCCCACTGTATGTCTTACAGGGAGAATGAAGTATTGTGTCATTCTCTGTGTTCTTTAGAACAGGGGTCCCCAAACTTTCGGACCTCAGGGACCACTAAATTCATAATTTTAAATCCCACATACCACTAATACGATCTGCCTAATGACCAGCTGGGTGGGCATCGCAAAGTGGTCCTATGACTGGGTGGGCATGGCCAACGCGATGTCACTCACATCGTGAGGCTCCTTGCCAGCCTCTCCTCGCCTGCCCGCCGGGGCTCCTTAGGGCCCCAATAAGAAGCAGTTGTTGGAGCTAAGCAGCCACCAAGAGAAAAAGTTGGCAAAACAGCTGGCTCAGTTCGAATTGGATCTGACTGAGAAGGAGGCTCAGCAGAAGCACCTCACTGAGGACTAGGAGCATAGGCTTTCCAAGCAGAGGGAAGACCTGCGAGAGTGCAAGGCCAGGTACCAGTGCCTGGAGGCTCAGTGGGCTGAGATGGTTAGCCAGTTCCAGGCCATGATGCTGTCCCACTGGAACAAGGCCCTCCGGTTCTTTGTCACCAGCAAAGAACCTTTGCACTTCCCCCGGCCTTCGCCTAAAGCCCCAGCACTAGGAGGCTAAAGCAGACCCCAAGTCGAAATTTCTGCCCCCCTCTGCCCCACACAAAAAGACCCCAAAGGGG